TCTGTGTCTCAGTTTCCTTATCTGTAAAAAATGGATAGGATAGAATTGTAGTATATCGACCTTACAAGGATGTAATGACGTGTGAAACCTATAATGGTAAGTAAGATCCTAATGGTGTAACTGACAAGGTGAAATAGGAAGAAAAGGACTAAAGGTGTAGGGGAAGTGGGAAGGGTAGGGAAAGGAACTAAGGGAAAAGAAAAAAATATGAGAAAATAAAAATGGGAATAAAGTATTTGTAAATAGGGAAGGGAGGGCAGGGACAAGGGGACAAAATGAGAACCAAGACCTGTCATGTAAAGGTACAAGATCCCAGTGATGAATGTAACTGTGCTGTGTACCTAGAATGTACCAATAAACTCAAAGAGAAAAAAAACAAGGATGTAATAAGGATCAAATAAGATAACATATATGATACAAATATTTAGGTATATAATTTAAATGTAATATAATTAAAATAGTTACATTTTAATTATATAATAATTTATAATAAAATCATCCTACATAATTTAGATTTAAAATTTAGATATATTTGGACATTATATAACAATGTGTAATATATAAACAAGATTTTATATGTAACATCTATTTCAAATATATGTGAAATGCTTGGAGTAGCACCAGGTAAACGACTAAATAAGTGAATAGCAGTTTTGGGTTCAGGGCCCAAGCCAAGAGGTAACAGTGGCTTGTGCGAGGGTGGCCGGCCTGGAGAGGGGGTGAGGAGGAACCTGGGTTCGGGGCACCCTCAGGAGGCGGGGTGAAAGGAGGAACACAGGGTCGGTGCCGGTGCAGGCTTGGACAGCCTGGGGACAGCGGGCGGGGGTGCCCTTCGGGTGGGGCGAGGAAGCTGAGAACCCCCAGACATGTTCGCGTGGTGCGGCCAGCAGAGGGGCCAACTCCGGAATGCAGCACAGGGCGTACTGAGCTCCCCCAGGGCGCGTGTAGGCGGGGTGCAGGTGCGGGCCGCGCGGTCCAGGATGAGGTGCAGCTGGAGGTGGGCAGCAGGGTAGAAAGGTTGGCCATGGCGGGGTCCCCAGGGTACCGGAGGCTGAGGAGCGAGGCAGCGGGGCGTTTGCTGGGAGCTGAGGGCAGGAATGGAGCAAGCGCTGGACTGGGTGCGGGGCTGGTGTTTGCTGTGGGCATAAACACAGAGCCTTCTCATGGGGCTACACCGCCGCCCTTTAAATTATTTCTTTATAGACAGGATTTTGCTAAGTTTCTACGTTGCCCAGGTTGGGCTCAAACTTGTGATCCTCCTGCTTCAGCCTCCCAGAGTCCTGAGATAGCAAGCATGTGCCACCACACTCAACTTGCTTTTTTGTTTTATAAAGTGGGGTGATTCCTGCTTGTTTCCCGCTGATGGGAAAGCCGGAGGAGCCTGGGCCACGTGCCTGGTGATGCTTCTTCCAGGAGACAGTGAGACTGGGGCCCAGAATGCGTGGGTGTCGGTGTGTCGATGTGTACGACCACGAGCACCCGCGTCTGTGTGTGTCCATCTGTCTGTAACTGCCCACATACCTGCGTGCATCTGTGTGTGATGTGTGTGAGGTCAGAGGAGGCCTGGATCCCGTCCTGGGGAGTGGAGGGTCCTCCCCAGATTGGGGTGAGGGGCGCTGGGCGGCTTGGAAGCTTGGTATTAGGGCAGGAGGTCCCCTGGAGCTGGTGGGCTCGGGAGTAACTTCCGGAGTCTTCCCAGAGACACTGGAGAGGCCAGATCTGAGCGTCCATGGTGCTGCAGCTGGGAAAGCAGCCTCTTTCAGGCCCGGGGATTGTGCCATCCGCCTAGAGCCGCGCACAGCCGGAGTGTTGCCGCCATCTCGTGGCCATGTCAGGGATTGCCGGGCCCTGATCAGGCGCAAGCACTTACCTCCACCTGGTGGCCGCAGAGAGTTTCTGCACCTGCGGAGGCCGCAGGCAGGCTGAGTGGAGGGGAGCGGGTGGGCCAAAGAGCTGGGGACCTCAGCCACACCTCTCTGGAGAGCACTCCGGCTCTAGCTCCAACTCCCGAGGCTTCACAGCTCTTGCCAGGCCACTCGGTGCCCCGGTCTCCTCGTCTGTAAAGAAAAGTGAGGCATGTATGGACAGGGCCGCTGGGAGAAACAATGCACCGAGGGCGGGGCCCGGCAGCCACGCGCTTTGGTTATGAGTGACTTAGGCAGGCACCCCAGGCAGTGGGGCAGGGCCGCCGAAACCCTAAGACGGAATGGCTCACGTGTGACCTCTGCACCAGGCTTCAAGTCCTCTTCCTGAGGGTGGGCGTGGCCTTGGTTCCGCCCCGCCCCCGGCTGCCTCTGCTGTCCGCTCACAGACTAATCCCTCTTGGGAAAAGATGAGCAGTGGGAAACTCAGGGATCAGGGCCGGTAGCCTTCTGCGGAGGCCAGGCCCACGCAATGCCCTTTCCCCATACCCAGGGGCCTCCTTGTTCTCCATCTCGGTGCCAGTGTATCCACCAGCGTGTGAGTCCGCAGAGAGGGGACCAATTCCAGGCCACCCCACTTCCTGGGCCCAATGGGTCAGCACTGAGGTTCCCGCACCCAGCTCTGGGACTCCTGCCATGTGGCAGGGAGGGGAGCTGTGAGGGACACCGAGAGAAAGTTCCCTGGTTGGCCATGGGGCTCCCCACAGTCACAAGGGCTAAGGGGAGATGCGGGGCAGGGAGAGGAGGTGGCCTCGGGTCTCAGTGCCACAGGCTCTATGTGCGGGCTTCTGTCCCCAGAGAGGCTGCTCACTCAGAAGATCAAGCGGGCAGGTGGGCACTGTCTGCCAAAGTGCGGTGAGGGTTCTGGAAGACTGTGCCCTCAGGACAGACCCTAGGCTTTGGGACATCTGTTCTCTTTACCTATCAGAGAGTAGGACCCCCATCCAAGGAATTGTAGCCACTCAAAGACAAAGGTCCGGTAGGAACTTCAGTGGAGGTTACCCCAGAGAGGCCCAACTGGGGGACCAACAGGGGGGCCACTAGGATTTGGGTAATTACTCTTTTTTGATTTTTTGAGACAGAGTCATGCTCTGTAGTTCAGGCTGGCTTTGAACTCACTATGTAGCCCACACTGGCCTTACACTCTGAGGGATCCTCCTGCCTCAGCCTCCTGAGTGCTGGGACTACAGGCATGTACCACCACACCTGGCTGGTGTGAACAGTTATTCTCTCAGATAGATGGGCCTGCTTAGCTTGTACTCAACCTTACTTAACCTGCCTATGGCCTCTTCTTGAGTGCTTAATCAAATGCCCCCTCCAGATTTTACCTGCAGCAGGGTGAGTAAATAGGACAGGGCAGAGCAGGTAAGAATGAAGAGTAGGGTAAGGGGCGGTGACATGCCAGACAGTCCCAGAGGGGAGGGAAGATCCCGGCTGTCCACAGCCCTATCCCAGTCACATGTACACGGCTCATACATGTACACACACCTCTCTCCGAAGCAGGGATACTGTATAGACACACATACACATGTATGCTGGCTCACACACTCACACCTACCCACCCCCAGGCCCAACCTTCCTTCCCCACCCCAGAGAAACACATGTGTGCACACACACGCACACAGACACACACACTTCCTCGTGTTGGCCTTTCTAACCCCTGTGAGGCTCTGGCTGGGCTTCAGTAGGGCTGGACCTGGCCCACCTCAGCGCATTCCAGGCGAGGCTTCAGGCAGAGGTCACGCTGGGGGCCACCAGGGGCTGACATGGTCATTGCCTGGCCCATGATTCTGGTCATCACCACCCGGAAAGGAAGGCCTAAGATGGACGTGTCCGTGTGTGCAGGCCGGGTTGTCCCCGAGGCGACAGTGACTAAGGGTTGTCCTGCCCCTGACATGCTGCACATGCACACACTCACGCTGTGGAGCTGGCCCAGGGCAAATCCTCACTGTCTCTGAGCAGCAGAATGGGGAGAGGCTGCCCAGCGGGGCCTTCAGATGTCCCTGTGCTGAGCGGATGACGTGATGCTCTGCTTCAGGCTTCACCAAGTGTCCCCAACACCAGGGACACTTCTGCTGCACCATGAATTCAGTTTCACTCTGTGAGGGCCAGATCTCAGGGGCAGCTGTTTCTGGGTCACCATCAGCCGGACCCCTCCCGGCACCTTTCTCATGGCGCCTGGCCCTTCACAGGTCAGTCTCGTGGCTTTCTGAGCGCTGGGCATCTGCCTTTCTGCATTCTGTGAGTGCCGAGTCCCTCAGGCCCTGCCCCACCTGTATCAGGTTCCAGAGCTGGGGATGGGGCAGAATTGTGAACCTGGCTGTTTCCGGCAATACCGTGGTCTCCTTTCTAGCACCAGGAAGCATCTCCCCAGGCCAGTGTGAGCAGAATGAGCATACGCTCCGGAGGACCCCACAAGGACCCCCAGAAAGATGGAGAAGCTGGGCAGATACTCCTAGCAGACCCAGGCAGAAAGAGCCTCAGAGTCAGACAAAACTTTCCTGGGGTTTCAGACAAAAATCCACACACTGCCATGGTCACGCCCATACCCTAAATTCCAACAGACACTTTCTCGGACCTTTCAGTATCACAGTGGCTTTCGATAAACTCAGAGCCATTTCCGGCGTGAAGGTCTGCGCGCCTGGAGGAGGAGTTTCCTCTACTTCTCTTTCCCCGCCCCAGAGCTGTTCAAGGGGAATGGCCAGTCCCGCAGCCCTGAGGTGGTCTTGGCTGGCAGTCAAGGTGAGATAACAACTCTAGGCCAAAGCCCTGCTTAGTTCAGGGGTTCAGCCTCACTCCCCAGCCCAGAGCGCCTGCCCTGAGACCCGTGCGAGTGCCGGCCCGCAGCTTGCTGAGAGCTCAGGGGGCACGCTGCAAAGGTGCAGTGACAAGAAGGGACGCCAGGGGGCTCCGTGTGGACAGGACCTCCTCCCATACAGCGTGCTCCTGCCCTGGGCTTCCCCTCTCAGAGCCTGCAGGTGCCTGGCCCAGGCTGTCCGGAGAGGCAGAATGTCCAGAAAGCCTGGGACAAGGTCCGCAAGTTCCCACCACACCCCACAATAGACACTGCTGCTCCGAAAACCAAGTGCTTTATTCAGAACCTCCCCAACGTCATAGAAAAACTGCAAACCGCGTGGTTTGTACAAGGCAAAGGCTAAGGGACTGCACGACCTCCCTGACAGCTGGGGCCCTTGTCCCTGGGGCCTCAGGCTTCCCTGGTCATCGCAGCTCTTAGCCGAGCTCCCGGGGCAACGGAGTCCTCATACCTCCCTCGGCCAAGGAATGAGGAAGTGGGTATGGGACAAGGCCGGGGTCCCCATCCAAGGTCCCTGTTCCCCTCCCAGAGCCAGCTACGGCTCTGGGCTGCAGCACTAGCGGGAAAGATGGTCCTGCGCAGGCGCGCGGGGCGGGGTGGGGCGGGGCGTCCTCCCCAGCAAGCCCCGCCCCTCGCTCAGTACAGGTCTGCGAAGGGCTTGGAGTAGTTGAACATCAGGTAGTCCATGTAGTAGAAGTCGTAGGTGCGTTGCCGCTGCAGGGCCGAGAGCTGCGCGAAGTACTGGTGGGTGATCCTCGAGGTCGTACGCGCCTCCTGTGAGTGCCGGTCCTTGAATCGCGGGAAGGTCAGGTTGCGCGGCGCTCGGATGAGGCTCAGGAAGAAGTTGGCGTCGTCCTCCACGCTCTCGAACTTGCCCACAAAGTCATAGTCGATGAGGCAGGGGCTGCACAGCCGGCTGACGTGGTCCCAGTGGATGTCCATGCCCACGGGCCGGTGCACGTCCAGCAGGTACTGGACGAACTCGGGGAAGCGCACGAGGCTGCCGTGCCCGGGGGATGTCCATGCCCACGGGCCGGTGCACGTCCAGCAGGTACTGGACGAACTCGGGGAAGCGCACGCCGGAGCCCGTCCGCAGCGCCTCCCGCGAGGCGTTCGCCCGGTACCGGGCCAGGATGGCCTTACCAAAGACGGGGTGGTAGTAGCTGTTCGGGTGCTCGAACTTGTCACGGAAAGCCGAGACCAGCCTCTCGAAGGGCTCGCGCACGAAGAGCATCTTGGTGTAGGTGCCCAGGCGGTGCAGGATGCCCTGGCGGTCGAAGGTGTCCAGCCGCTTGAGGGCGCTGCCGTAGTGGACCGTGTTGTGCTGTATGTCCGCCGTGGACGACGCCAGCCCGGCCAGCACCATGAGCACCCGCTTCCAGTTGGAGCAGCCCGCCTTGGGCACCTCGCAGTAGAGCACGCGGTGGCGGTCCTCCACAGGCCTCCCGCATCACCCGCTTGCGCTCCTGCTGACTCTGCTGCAGGCTGTCCCAGTGGCTGTCCTGGGTCTGGGGTGGGGGGACAAAGGTCTCGGACGAGCCGTTGGCCACGACGGCCACTGCAGAGGGCATCTTTTTGATGAGCAGCCGCCGCCGTCGCTGACGGAGTCGTAAACGGGTCCCAGTCTTTGGATGGAATCGAGGCTGGTCAGGCACGTGCAGTTTGAGGTCCCTCGGGGCCCGGCTGGACAAATCCCGTGTGACTCTATCTGTGGGTACCTTCACGACGCCATCCTGGGAACCATCTGGTTGGAGGTCCTGGGACAAGAAGGGAGATGGTCACCAAGGTGGACAGGACAGCTGGGCACAGAGGGTCTGACAGTCAGACTGTCGCCAGGATTAGGGTTTCTGCCCCCTCTGCAGCCTGAATTCTTCCTGGGACGAGGGAAAAGGCTGATCCTGCAGGTGTGGCCCCCTAGTCTGAGTCTTGGTCCGGCTTACATTCGTCGGCTATAGTCTGGCCACCAGAGTGGGACTCAAGGTGGAAATGCTATTTCAGCCACAAGATGGCGCGCTCCTCACAGGAACCTGCCAGGGTGGGCGGGGCGAGCCGGTGGCCCGAAGGAGGCTGGCTCAGATTTACTGTGTCTATTAGCACGATCCAAAGGAGCCATCTAACAGGAAGGGGAAATTCATGGATACAAAGCCCTGGGCTTTGTTCCCAAGGCTCCTGGAAAGGACCGGACACATTTTTCTTTTTAAGAATGGAGTCAAATTTTCTTCCCTGCCCTCCCTGTCTCTAGGCTGTGTGTGCTGAGATTTATCTGATTCTCAGAACTTACCTTGTGGGGCTGCTGTGGCCTGATGTTGAACTTTATTCCTAAAAAGCAAACAGAGCAAGATTAGTAGCGGAAGTGCCATGTGGCTCTCAGGGACCTGCTCACAGGCCCTTTCCCTGTGGACACCCCGGGCGCAGGGAGCTTGGATTAGGCTCCAGGAAAGGGCAATTTGGGACCCTTTGTTCCCTTATCCTGTGGAAAATGAGGTTGCAGCTCCACTGGCTCCCAGCTGGTGCTAACTTCTCATCTCACACCTGGTATGGCTTGGCAGCTGTGGGCAGGTGCCCTGTCCAGGTGTACCTACATTCCTGCCCCGTGGGAAAGTCAGAGTCCTCAGACCATCCTCACCGCACCCCATCCTGCCACTAAGTCACAGAGAACGGACCCTTCTGAAGGCTCTGTCCATCCTTTCTCCACATGCCGTCAGCCATGCCCTGCTTCTAGTGGATGCAGATTCTCTGCACTTGGAACAAGACGCATTTGCACTCAAGCTCCTGAGGTGACCATGTGGTTAGAGAGAGGACACTGCTTCCCACTCTGGTTTGTTGGGGTGGGCAGGAATCTTCCCTTGGTAGAGTGTATGCAGTAGCCTGGGCCTCTTTGCTCACCGCCTGCCTGGCCCACTGGGGCAGCAGGGGCTCTTTCTGCTCTTGTGCCACGTGAATGGACATTTGTGCTCTGAGCACTGCCGAAAGCCACAGTCACAATCAGAAGCAGCCACCCCTTAAAGGAGCTAGAACCTCCAGGCAGCAGAGAGGGGCATGGTGCCCAGCTGCACCTGACTGAGTCCTGGCTGCTGCCCAGGGCATGGAGGGGGCCATTCTGATGGCCAGCATGTCCCTGTCTGTGTACTGGGCTGAGGTCCAGCGGCTGGAGCCCAGCTGGCTAGGGACACCAGGCCTTCCCTGACCCGAGCCTCCTCGATTCCTCCACAGGGTCCAGTTTCACAGAGTGCCATGGCTTCGACCCTGTGCTGGTCAATCTGAGGTTGTGCCTGTGCATCGAATTCAGTTGTTAGCAAGCAAGCAGGGAGGACAAAGTTTATATTCCCTGAGCTTTCTGTGAACTTCTTTAAATCCTGAGAGATGGAAACAAAGGTGGAACTTGGACATGCTGCCTGAATTTCCCCCACCCTGTAGTGGGGATTGAGCCTAGAGCCTTTGCACCAAACCACATCGCCAACCTTTATTCATTCTCTCATTCATTCATTCATTCACAAAAGGGTCTCAATATGTCACTGAGTTGTCCACACTGGGCTCAAACTTGTGGTCCTCCTGTTTCAGCCTCCCAGAAAGCTGGGATTACAGATGTGCATTACCATGCTACCTCTTTCTTCTGTGGATTCCTTTGGGCTGGGAGGTGTGCCCTTCTCTGGGCAAAGCCCTGTGCGCCTTCCTTTCTGGGCATTCCTGTGGCGTGTGTATGTGTGTGTGCTGAAAAGCTTGGAACAGGCCTTTTAGTGCCTTCCAGAGACTGAAGGGAAGCTTCATGTGGTGCCAGGGTGAGCAGCAGGTGCTGCTCTAACAGGGTCCTTTTAGACGGTGGCCCCTCAGCCCCATAGCCCATTTCCTTCCTCACCAGCTGCCCTCCGTCCCTTCCATCCCCCTTGTCCTGCAGACACCTCCAGCATGAGCTTCCAGAGCTCACTTGTCTGCCATGCGGGGTTTTCTCCTGCAGCCAGTGATGACAGATCTCCTCACCAGAAGGGAGCCGCTGCAGCCGCTCAGTTTCCCTCTACACCACCGGGATTCCTTAATTATTTTCTCCTGGTGATGGCAGCTGGCTCTGCTAAATCACCTCTCCTCCTCAGACTCAGATACAGGAATTTACTCTGCTTGTCACTCCTGTCAACCTGTCACCGTGTGATGGTGCTTATTTGTATTCCTTTTCTGGAGCAAATGAGTCATACTAGATCTGGCCAAGAGTGGAGCTGAGGAGCCACTTCCAAAGGTGTCCTGCCAGTCTGGGAAGTGGGACAAAGACGTTCTCACCAAAGTCGCAGCCCCTGTGGCACTGGGTCCTGCTCTATTTAATCACTGTGGACAGACAGAAGGGTGCTGTCTCCTGGACTTCCGGACTCTGGATCTAAAGAAGTTTCCCCTCTGAAGCTAGCCAGTTTAAAGGAGCCCTTGGCATAGGCTGGATGGAATGTTCCAGGCAGGGGTGAGTTCTCTGACTTCCTGGCCACATCTCCCCATAAAGCCAACCTTGCTGTCACCGGCCCCTCTGAAAAAGCATCTTGTAGGAAGTAACAGATAGCTAGGACAGATCATATGGGGAGCTCCATGTCCCCAACCTTTAAACTATGGCAGATCATTTAGGCAAAGATGAATCCTGTCCCCACAGAGCCTTTCGAATAAAAACAGAAACTTGAAATGAAAAGGACTTTCTCCTCTGCCAAAGATTCAGCGCCCCCCCCCACTTTTTCTCAGGAAAAGCTGTTTTTTTTCCTTCTATGTCTTGCTCAGATAATGGCTGAAACAAAGGCCTCTCAGGAACCCTGGGTGTGCAGAGGTTGGTGTCTGCACGCGCCCGAGCAGGAGGTGGGGGTGGCGCGCGCGGCGTCGTCAGGACCCTGGACAGCGCCCCGGAGAGCCCTGGGAAGGGCTGGGGGAAGGCCCTGCCTCTGCTGCACCCAGGAGGACCAGAACCTGGGCTGAGGAAAATAGGGGTGGTGGTTTTTGCCTCAATACAATCAGCACCAACGTTTCCCAAGCCCCTAAATAAACACAAAATTTAGATCAAAACAGAGAGCTTGCTGAGCAACACAAGCCGCAACTCCCAGCCTCCTCTCCATGCAATACTCTGCTCCCCACCCGTCACCTCGCCCAGGGACAGGGGGGCCCCAAGGTCAGTCAACACTCGCTGCCTTCTCGGTGTCTGGATCGTCTGTCTCCTCCTCTCAATACGACGTCAAAAATCTGCAAAAGAGATCCACCACCCCCCACCCTGCACGGGAAGAAATAAACAACCGCTTTCTCTTTCTGGACAGATGACATTCGTAGGGTGGCTGGAACACAGACAACACGATAAGAGTGAGCGCTGGTGAGAATAAACAAGGCGTGAGTTATGGGGACTGCCACTGTGCTGTGTGCTCTGAGCTCTTCATTGGCTGAAGGCTTTTTCTCTTGGCGTTTGAAGCTTCCTGGTTACCCCCAAGGGGAGGTGAAGGCTAACGATGCTGTGCAAGGCCAGTTTCTTAATAAGCAGTGCGTGCAGCCCAGGTCTGAGGAAGGGAGAGAGGGCGCTTCTCCACTGGGCTACTGAGGAGAAGGATCCCTTGCCTCCTCCTCTCCAGAGACATAGGGAGGCCACTGGGTTCCACACAAACCCCCAGTGCCCAATGCTCAGACCCCACTAGGGGTGACAGTTTTTGTTTTTTTTTTTTGTACCGGGGATTGAACTCAGGTCCTTGCACTTGCGAAGCACTCACCAGAACCTCTGAGCTAAATCCCCGGCCCTTGGGGGTGGCAGTTCTGATCAAGGCTTTCGGATGGGTGTGTAGGAATACAACAGGGATGAAAAAGCACCTCACCGACTCATGCATGCTTTACCTCCCAGGCCCCAGGGGGCTGAGGCGGGGGGGGGTGACAGCTGCTCTGACTGCTGCAATCCCAGTCCCAGGCCCCGATGGGCAGAAGCGAGAGGTCCTGTTGCTCTGCATGCTACGGCCTGGCAGAGACAGAGCTATCTGCAAGGCGTAGCAGGGCATCAAACCCACAGAGGGGCAGGTATTGGAGGAACTGCAGGGCCGGGAGAGGCTGTGGGGGCTGCCAGCTCCAAGTGCCTGCCTATGTAGAGCTTGACTGCTGCATCTTCAGTCTCCTGAAGTTTCCTGATCAGGCTGTTTCCTTGGCCATTTTTCCATGTCCTGGATCTTCAGGTGGCTGAGCCAATGTGGCCAGATACATCACATGTGCACTGTCCTTCTCACGTCCACGTAAAGGGCTTTGCTTGCTTCCCTTGGCTCAGGCTGGCCCAGGTCAGAGCAGACACTGAAAGCCAGGCCCTGGCTGCAGTCTAGTTCTCCCTCAATGTGTGCAAGAGCCTCAATCCAAGCCTCAGCCCCTGAGGAAGGCTGAGTCACCAGGCAGCCCCGCACAATGGCCAGAGCATGCAGCCTCACAAAGCAAGGCGAGCAGAAAAGCAGCCGGGAGGACACGCTGCCCACTGGGCTTAGGGCACAAGCCCTGAGGGCATGGCCAGACCCCCATGCACAGGAAATATGGAAGGGATCTGAATGAGAAATGTATTCATTAGGGTGCTGCAGAAAAGCCACAGCCAACAGAAGGCAGTGAGTGAGGGAGTGGGAAAAGGGAGGGGAGGAAAGACAGGAGAGGGAAGGTCTCACTGTGCAGTTCAGCCTGGCCTTGAACTACATAGCCCAGGCTGGCCTGCAAATCCTCCTGCCTCAGCCTACGGAATGCTGGGATTATAGGCAGGTGCCACCTTACCCAGCAAGAGGAGAGATTTTAAGGCACTGGCTCATAGAATAGTTGGCAGACTAAAATCTGTAGGTTAGGCCTGCAGACTGGAGAACCAGAGAATTGATATTGTAGCTCAAGTCCAAAGGCAGTTTAGAGACAGAATTCCTTCTTCATCTCGGAACCTCAGTCTTTTAAGGCCTTCAACTGTTTGGGTAAGGCCCACCAAAGCATGGAGGGTTAGCTGGTATCTTCATTGTCTACCAATTTACATGCTAATCACATTTAAAGATACCTTATCAACAACATCTAGGATGGTGTTCGCTCAAACCACTGGGTCCCAGGGCCTAGCCAGAGGGTACATACAGGTAACCATCATGGGAGGTATCTTTCTTTACTGTGGTGACTACAACAAAGTTTCACAAATTGGGCAGCTTAAAATAACCAACATGTATTCTGGCACAATCTAGTTCTGAAGCCTAGAAATCAGTCTATAAACCACGCTGCCTCTGAAGCCTCCAAGAGTGGATCCTCCTGCCCATTCTAGCTCCGGGAGGCCCCAGGTGTGCCCTGGATTATGGTAACATACGTTTAATTCCCACCTCTTCTTCACATGG